TAGAGGGGCGCCATTGGTTTCAGGGGAGCGCCATCGATCTTAGATGGGGCAGCTGTAGTCTCCGTTCAGGTAGGCGCCAGTGGCTTTTGATGGGCGCCATCGACCCTGGGGTTTGGAATGCTCTGGTTTCCGGAGGGGCGCCCTTCAACATTGGGGTTCAGGTTCTCGTTGGGGGTGCCCTGGAGAACATTGGGAGTGTCCAGGTACCCCCCAAAGAGATATTAAGTTCGATCCCTGCTTGCATTTCACTTTTTATTTCATGTTCCCTCAGTAAAACGGCATCAGCCTAGTTGGCGCTACTTGGGGCGCCATCTGGGCGGCTAGGCGAAAAGGGGGGGCCATGGCCCCCATGGCCCCCCCCTGTCTACGCCACTGTCCACGGCGTTTATCAGATTGAGCCCAGTGGTCGAGCGAGTGGGTCAAGTCGAGGGGCAACCCATGTAACTTGCATCGCGCCACTCCGTGAACCGTTATACCTTGTGAGTTCTAGTCCATGAACGTCTGCAGCTGACCCACAACACCCAACCTCTGGCTTCGATGTCTGCACCGAGACGCCGACTGCGACCGCTTTTGCAGGAGCGTGTCGGACCGCGGGCGGATCTACGTTGTAACGTAGAGAACATTAATTACATACCGGCTCTGCACACCGACTTGTAAGAGGTTGCATACATGCATAAATAACCAGATACGATGGTTATGTGGGTTGTTTTTGCAGAGCATTTGAGTGTATGGGCAGCTTTACAACATCACACTTTACAATACTGTTCGGCATGCATGTCACGCATGTGCACGAATGTATTGCTGCAAAGTGATGCAGTGCCTATAGCAGCGTTCAGGAAGGGTCCTATTTGTGTGTTGGTTGTATTCAATGTTTGCATTTGATTATGTATGTACGTGACATTTATTGTATGTCACACCGCTGGTCCGTGATTCTCGCTAGTGGGGCATTGAAGCAAAAATACCGTCATATGTTCATCTAACCGGATTGCTTTAAATCCTCGCATTCCTTCTACCTAGATCGTTCCTGTTTTTTTTTTTTGCATGCTGGCTCCTTTTCCACTCATTCTTTGGTGATTTTGTGGTGTGCCTCGTTCATCCCGTCCAAATTAATGATGTCCGGATGTTTTCTGGCTTAGTTATGACAAGTATCCATATAAGTCCCTTAGTGGCAAAAGATGGAGCAATAACACTTAAAACAATGGCAAGGCATCGGGTGTTGGTTGGACTCCGTATTTGTGTGCTTGTGGTATATCGACTTCCTTTTTTTATATCATACAAAGGACGAAAGGCGCACGTAGACCTTCAAACGGAAAATTATTTCAGGGCCAACGCACTTTGTGCGAACGATAGTTTTGGAGTTGGACCCTTGTTATTAACACTTTAACCCGGCACCGCCTGGGCTATTTCCGTACCCACGACAGCCTGGGGGGGGGGGGGGGGAAGTCGGATCCGATCCCCCCCCCTGTTACCTCGAGAACCATTGGTCGCATCGAGCCCCGCGAGGCGGCGTTCGAAAGGTCTCTACGAGACCTTCCCAAAGCACTCTTAAGATTTTGAGATTGAGGTCAACTTTCGGGTCAAGGTCAGGTCAAAGGTCAAATTCTGGGGTTTTGCATGATTAGGCTTACGGACAGCGGAATCGATAGCTGCTGCTCGAAACTCACCAAAAATGACCTCAAAGGCCTAGTGAAGGTACCATGTGCGTATAGGGGTCATACTAAGTACGGGTCAAGGTCAGGTCAGGTCACGAAAGGTCACGGTTTTCACTTTCTGCTACATGGGCGTGCGACACATGTTTTATGGCTTATTTTTCACGCCGAATCCGATGGTAATGGTTATATGTGACCCCAAGTCACTGTGCTGGTGATAGGTGTGCATTGAAAGCATAAAAAATCGTTTATACCATACATAACTAAACGAGGGCTGAGAAAAAAGGTCAATTTTTTAACTTTTTACTTTTGACATAAAATGCACTTTTCTAGACGAGCTTTGTCCCAGGAATCTAGTGGTGCCATTTGTTTTCACATGCGATGTTCAGATGTGCCTCTAATTCACGAAAATGATTATGACGTCACCATGCCCTATGCATGTTGGAGCTATTTTTTACAATTTGGGGGTCAAAAATCAAGATAGAAAGTTGAAATTTGGGACATATAATGTTCTAATAGAGCTCTATAACATATATTCCAGTATTTTGGAAATTCTCAAAATTTTGGATTTTGTTAGCTGTTTTCAAAAAATATAGTTTTGTGAATTTTTAGGGGTGAAAAACGCATTTTATGGAAACTCCGAGATAGCCATTTTAAAGAACTTGTTGAGCTGCGTCTATTTATGTCCTTAATTTGCAATTTGCTTCAAACCCTGTTTTTTGGCGATTTTTTAAACATTTACCACTTTTTGACTAAAAACGTTATTCTTGAGTTATTCAAGAAAAACGGAGGGGGGGGGGGTCGGATCCGACCCCCCCCCAGGCGGTCGCGGGTTAATACCCAAACTTTTGTTGGTCCTACTTTCTAAGCAATGCTTCGAGGCCAATTTGGAGTTTAAACAGAAAAGAAAATGGACGACAGCATAACACAAGCCATTGGTTGATGTCGCCCGCTGGCATTTGCTAAACCGAAAGTTTTCTGCTCAATGAAAGTTTTTGTGTCAGTACTTTGCAATGAAAAGCCTTCATACTGTAGGTAAGAATAAAACACAGGTGGTATTGGAACATTGCAAACAATATTATTTGCACGTCGTTATTTCTGATGAGTTTGATGAATATTTGAATACCATACTGTACATTTGAAAAAAACTCACCTATAATAGTTACTGTTGCCGGCACAGTGCACACATCATGACGCGACGCGTCGTCCCGCCAGTATTGTGCAGTGTGCACGTCGCCATGACTGATTAGAATTGGCCAGAAAACCGTTACGGGGCCGGCGCCGATGCCCCGCCAGGGTACGTCTCTTGAGTTCAACGGATTCAAAGATAATGACGCTGATAGGTATGCAATGAAAGGAAAGCTGGCCAAGACTGCACAGTCACCCCAGTCTCATCCAATCGACAGAGCACGCCCGCGGCAGCAGGCCGCAGCGGCGACGGGCGGCTGTAACAGCCGCCTATTGTCGGACGACTTCGGTGGGCACGACAGAGCCTTCGTGAAGTCACCGTGACTTGGCGTCCGTGACACCAGCATGACGAAGCGGCATGACTTTCGGAGCGCAATGACTTGACATGGACTTGATTACGCTGTCTTCAGACCAAGCGCATGAGCTATGATCTAGGCAATGATAAGGAATATCACGAAGATTCCGATTCTAAGGTTTTAGGTCATTGGTTGACCTTCCAGGTCAGGTCAATGACCCAAAAGTCGGAAAAATCGGGACCTTAGTAAAATGTGGCTGCTATGCCATTTTTCGGGGTGCTGATCACGAATGTCATGCTAGTCTTGATCAAGGATGATGTCTTCATGCATTTAAGCCAGGTCGGGTCAGGTCAGGTCAGGTCAACCAGTAGGGGTCCTGCCGGGTATTCGTAATAGGTGTCAACCACCTCTGACAGCTTTGTAACATGCTTCAAAGGCACCAAAACTGCATACGTCATAAGTTTTCAAATTGTTGCTAAATTCGAATTTAGCTCCAAAAACTAGCCTATAGAAACATGTAAAACTCTAAAAGCTGAACCGGGACCATCAAAAGTCAATGACCTTACCTGACCTTCAGGTGACCTTGAAATCCACCCTAATGCATGGGACGAACATCATATCACATGTTTGAACGCTTGAACCCACGAAAAGACTGCAAACGCGCGGCTGCCCGCTAATGCGAGCCGACAAACGCCGAACCGCGATTCCGGCCAAACATGGCCTTGAAAAGTAAGTCACGGGTCAAAGGTCATTTGGGTCAGGGTAATGAAATTGTTTAGGGTAGGTGTAAAATTGTTTAACGCGATGGTACTGAAAGTTTCGTCGCGATCGGCCGCTTTTTACGCGAGTTATTTGCGAAAAACCGAGGGGAATCTTTTCCACCCCCTATTCGGATGAGGGTTACTCTGTTTATTTTTTTTTCTAGTCATTTGAAGATGGAATGCACATTACAGAACGATATCTTCATTCGGGGACTCATTTGAATCATGCTCAGTAAACGGAATGGTCTTATTTTTACGCTTTAATCAATGTGAGGTCAGATGCGTGGCAACTTACATATATTCTCACTAGAACAAAAAATGTCAGGGTGAGGATTCTAAAATATTGATGGAAACATTTTGATGAAAGGGAGAGATGGGGGAGAGACAAATAAAAAGAAAGAGTAGTAGCTGGAGAGAGAGAGAGAGAGAGAGAGAGAGGGAGGGAGGGAGGGAGAGAGAGAGAGAGAGAGAAAGAGAGAGAGAGAGAGAGAGAGAGAGAGAGAGAGAGAGAGAGAGAGAGAGAGAGAGAGAGAGAGAGAGAGAGAGAGAGAGAGAGAGAGAGAGAGAGAGAGAGAGAGAATATGATTGCCGAAAAGGAACAAGAAGAGAGTGGCCAAGATTTAGATGGTGTCTCCAATGGCTTTCCATTGGTTTTCTGTCGTTGACCTACTGTGTCATGCGGATTGCCTCTGGATGCGGACTCGCCCCCGAAAGCACCGTTTGAGGACTTTCCGCTGCGCTTTTCCGTAAGAATGACTCAGCACTGTCGTGTTTCTACGAGAACCCAAATAGCTCTTGACGAGGATGACTCGGTAGAGTCGCGTGCAGAAATAACTAATAAGTCCATGGTGCAGGTGGAACTGAGGAGGGCGGGGAGAATCTCTCTCTCTCTCTCTCTCTCTCTCTCTCTCTCTCTCTCTCTCTCTCTCCCTCTCTCTCTCTCTCTCTCTCTCTCTCTCTCTCTCTCTCTCTCTCGGTCCAGCAGACATGTCCAGTGTCCAATGTCCAGATTGACAGAATCTGATTAGCTGAGGCAGCGACTGTGGATGCAGAGAAGGACTGGTCTGACACTCACACACCTGACGACAGCATGACCCTGTTCACAGGTGCCGCAAGTGCAACTTTGGACCTCCTCCCTGGCGGAGACAATCCGATTCCAGCACACATTCTGCCGCCAACTGGCGGCCAGCCAGCTACTCCTGAAGGTGAAAAACCGGCATGAATGCATGGATAGCAACCACGTGGGTGACACGGTGCGGCTGTCGGCGGTGGGCGCGATCCTGCGCTACCTGTGCCGGGATGTGGAGCGCCACCCGGCGGGACACTGCTGTCACCAGAGCGTGTGACACCGGCGGGACACCGCTGTCACCAGAGTGTCTGACACTGGCGGGACACTGCTGTCACCATAGTGTCTGACACCGGCGGGACACCGCTGTCACTAGTGACTGACACTAGCGTGACACTACAGCTGCCATCAAAGTGACTGACACGGTGTCAGCGCCGCTACCGGAGTGTCAGTGGTGTTTTCAGTGACGGTGTCGGTAACAGTGTTGTTGTCGTTGTGGTGTTGACATCGCTACCGCTTCATGCACTGTGTTAAAACAGACTCTGCGAGGAAGCTCACTGCTGTGACGAAGTCGGTAATGGGACGCATGAAGTGATGTTCACGGGGTACATGTATTGTTGTCTTTCCATTTATTTATTAATTTATTTATTTATTCATTTTCGCTTCATAGCTGTCCATTCCTGTTTACATACATCACAGACCTTCAATGGTGACCTGGTAACTGGTAAATGGTGATATGGTAACGTGTCATTGAAGGATTGCGACGGCATGTGTAATTGTGTATACCTAAAGAAGAAGTGCTTAACTGATTAGGTATACTGTCACACAATGAAAACAAGATAGAAAAATAGGTAAATAAATAAAACGGAACGATTAAATACATATAACCAGCCACCCATACCTAAAACAGAACGCATACCGTTCAGCTCACCTCAAGCCATTCCAAAGAAAAAGTTGTTCAGTGGTCTATGTAATGTTTCAGTGGTCAACGTTTGTCCTCCCCGTGGCCTAGTGGATAAGGCGTCCGTCTCCTAACTCGGTGGCAGCGAGTTCGCGGCTGGGAAACTCCACGTCGTTTGACCCGCGTTCCTATATTAACCCGCGCACCGACGGGGGGGGGGCGGATATCCGCCCCCCCCCCCCTGAGTTTTTTCGCGGATAGCGGGAAAACCGCGGCGACTATTCTCTCATCAATATTACACATGGTGTGCAAGTTTGAACCTCTTAACTTTAAAGGTCAGGTCACCAGGTCCCTTTGAATGACCCAACCTCAAGTCACTTTTTTGCAACTTTGTCACCGTGCCAGAGCTACAGTAGATGTCGGAGGCCTTTGAAAGTCGCAGGATGTTATTAGGTCATTAGTAGCTACAATTTTTATATCTCGGAATTTTGATGTCGGTGACCTAAGGTCAGGTCAATTTCGCGACCTCCCCATTATAAGTCAATGGGGGAAAAATCAACTCCCTGTTTTTACCCCTAAAACGGGTCGGAATGGCCCCATATACCATACATGACTTCATATACGATCAACCTTCACTGCCTTGAGGTCTTTTTTGCTGTTGGGCAGCTGTAAGGTCATGTGACGTCATCAAAGGTCACCAGCGGTTTTTTGCCAATAACTCCGTACAGGAACAAGATACAGCCGCGCGGATGGTCTCATTGTGTTCAGCTCGTCAAGACGCATCGAATGATATACATGATGACCTTGAGGTCACGTGACCTGAGGTCAACCTTTGACCTTGACCTTTCGAGGTCAACATATATATCATTCGATGTGGATTGACGAGAGGATCACGATGATGCCCTTAGTTTGTTCCTATCTTGACTAATTCGAAAGTTATTCGAGAAAAAACTCTCTCCATATCTAGCGCCGCCATTTTGACTTTTTCGACCCCTGTGACGTCATCTTTGACCTGACCTGAAAATGACCTTTGTAAAAATTGTAGACCTTGTCCGTGCGTATCCGATGCCGTTTACCGCTTGTCGCTATCTTGCTTCGTTCTCGAGATCTCAGGGGGGGGGGGGGGGGGTGCGGTCATCCGCCCCCCCCCCCGTCGCACTGTGGGGTTTTTATCGATCCTAGCACGAATTTATTTATATCGCATCCTCCGCTACCTTAACTAATTTTATTTCACCTTCAAATGGTTAGGCTTAGGGTGTATGATCCCTGACAACATGGTTGGCTCTCCTGCTTGACCCCATCCCTCCCCCGCCCCCTAGCCACGGACTTAGCACTGAAGCGTTTTCGGCTAGCAATGCATCGTGGGCGTGGAAGCGTTAAAAAAGTAGAACAAGACTACAATCGTTTTAGAAGTAGATATTTGTTCATGTCTAGCCCAATCACCAAAAGGCATTTCAGGCTTAACCTTTGCACTTTGTTAATCCTTGCACTTAAAGGGGGAGGGGGTCGCACAGACTTCTGTCCTCGACTTTTCGCAACTAACTCAAGCAAAACGTGGCGGATCACGACGAAACTTTCTATACCTTCGATTCGATCAATGTTACTCACACACTTAAAATTTCATGACCTTGACCTCAATAAAAATTTGACCTGTGACCTGTTTCACCAGACCATGTCAGGCTGGTATCGATTTGGCGCTTATCAGCGCACATTATCGGCGCGTTTTCAGTCTTGTTGTGGTTGTTAACTCTCCAAGGTATGAAATGCTGTTTGTTCTTTGCATTTTAAGGTCACATTAAGGTCAAATCAAGGTCATTTACCTTAGATGACCTTAGTTGACTTTTTCAAGCTATACGATTTTTCTAGATAAGTGCTTGGAGCTTATTTTGAACTTAACACCCATTTGAAGATTTAAGTAGTTTTGGTGCCTAACGGAACATGCTACGAAGCCGTCAAAGGTAATCGACGCCTACCTTCTATGGATACTGGATAGCCGGCAAGACACCTACTGGTCGGGCCTGACCTGACCCGGCCTAGCATGAAAACATCATCCTTGATCAAAACTAGCTTGAAATTCGGGATTAGCACCCCCAAAACCTCCAACCTCACTTTACAAAGTTACAGCATTTTTCGATTTACCTATTCAAAGCTCTGTACTGAAGTTCAATAAGGTGAACATTGGCGGCGATAGCCAATAAAATGGACGCAGCGTTGCAAGGATGTTGTTGTTTTGTTCAAAAAGAGCATTTGGCGATAGAAAAATAATGTCAACATGGTATCACCCCCTTCCTCCCTCCTCCCAACTCCTATACTGACCGGAAACCCCCAGGCGGTGTGCTGCGGTCGGGTAACCCGCCGCGGCGCGGCCCGGCGGGGCGTAACAAACCACGCGGCACCGTCTGCTTTGACGTCTCATAGTGACTGGTTTAGGCAAATTTCGGCAAAAAATAAGAGCTGCCCCCGATGCAGAAATTATTGGAGAACATTTTGATATACATTTCCACGCGTACCACCGCGTATCAAACTTTGTAAGGCAATAGGTTGCTTGTCAACTCTCTGAATCAAGAAGCATTTAAACATTTTTTGCATTTCGGTCAAAAATTATACATTTGAATGAATTTTGGAAATCTTCGTGCATACCATCATCTTCCTTATAAGTCAAAGATAATGAAAACATGTCGCAACTATAACCTGCTGTTCAGGGAAACGAGTGAGAGGGCGTTTTATTGTAGTGTGCTTTTTCGCTGTATGCAGGTAGCACGACGCTGGTCAGGACGAAGCTACACTTTGAGAGGCTTTTTGAGGCATAAACAATCATTTTACAGACGATCTAAGGTGTGATTCGGATGCGCTGGACAATTCTACGTGGAATGAATAACAAAAAAGTGGAAATCGAAATACTTTAACTTGCCACTTAACCCTCGCCCGCACATGGGGGGGGGGGGGGTTGCCACCTCCCCAGGCAGTCTTTCTGCTCTGCACTCAACATTTTTAGAGCTAGAAGGGTGATTTTTCGTATAGCTGCTCGTCTATACTTTCTTGATGTTCACTGAAAATTTCAAGTTTCTGTGATTTTTGGTTTCGGAGATATGACCTTGTTTTTCAGGTCATGTCATGACCCAAATGGCCAATTCTCAACATCTTGCGTTTGCCATTGGCCTTGTGAGCTTTTGACACCCTGATTTCGGCCTTTTTTGCCAGTCTTACCTCCCACCTATCATGGAACATGTTGTTCGACGATGACCAGGGGTCAAGGTCAGGGTCAAGGTCAACCTAGGTCATCTAAGATAATTGCGTTTTAGGCAAGCTGAATTTACTTTTTGTGAAGTTTTTTGACTGCATTTTTGGTAAAAGCTTCACAGATCATGATTTCATGTGATATGGACCCAAAAACAATCGGTGCACACATCAGTATACACACAGACACACACAGACATACAAACACATGTAATTGACCTTGACCTAACTTGACCTGAAATGACCTCAGCAGCAAAATTCTGGTCGGATAGTGTGACAAAGAGGTTCTAGCTGGCTTGGCACCAGAAAACAGCATCGTCATCGGTATTTGATAAGCAGCGCACTTGATATCCAACGGTGACCTGCAAAACAGCAACATTTTTTAGTTTGACCTGACCTGGAAGGTCAATGACTGACCTGAGAAGGTAAAACTGGGTATCATTGGATTTGTCTCTTCCCAAAGAATCTTTTTGGTCTTTACTGCTAAGCTCTATCTCCAACAGGAACGAAATGGCGCGGGGGGGGGTGGCAACCCCCCCCCCCCCCATGTGCGTTCTAGGATGGGAAAATGGCATGTGCGGGCGAGGGTTAATGCGTGCTAGGATGGCATAAGTCCCCACGGTGCGTCGGTGCGAAGTTGGCGCAGACCCACGTCGGTGCGCGGCTTAAGCCAGCTGGCAACTGGCGAGAGAGGGCCACGCTAGACCCGGGAGGACCGTGCCGCCATCTACCTGCGGCACGTTAAACTTTCGATCCAAATTATCACCGGTGAACCGGGCGCGGGCATGGTGGGGTGGTGGGTAGTGGTGTCAATCGGAACTTGAATCTTCGGAATTCCGATTTTGTCCAATGTCCAATTCGGACTTTGGTTGGACAATGACAGCAGGCTTTGGACAACATTGGACAATCACTTGCTGCACCTCAGATTTTTTATAAAGTAATCGTGTTTATCATTGATTGGCGAATATAAAGCACAACTTTCGATATCCTCTTGGTTCTTTTTGTATACTGGGGTATACATCGTCTTAAGTCGATCTCTACGGAATTCACTAATGGCTAGGCTATTTCATGGCCATGCGTTGCATTCTTCATGCCATGGTCCGCCACCTGGTGGCTGAATTTATATCCTCAAGTTGAATTTGTTGTCGCCTCAGCGCTTCAATCTTCCCGGTATCTCGGCGGTCGCAGCATAGAGGTACGTCTCCTAATTATTTTCCTGTTATTTCTTTTTAAGAGTATGACTCATCGAAAACTGTTGTTTTGCTAACATAACCATTCGTTGTTGATCATTGCTTGCAGGTTTTGTAAACAAAGTTGTGTGTTTGGAACTTTTCCAGAAAGAATTAAAGTTCATGTATACTAAGGTATACAAATGTCCTTGGCCCGAAAAATTTTGAGACGTGCTTAAGAAGTAGCACTACAATTATTCGGAGGAATTGACCTCTGAAAAAATAAATGTACACCCGAGTGACCAACGGGATCCTGCACGACGGAGAAATGTAAACGTCAGTATACAACGGACTGTGCCTAGGACTAGTCATGTATACTGTAGTATACATGGTTGCTGGGTTAGTTAAAGCCATTTTTTGTGGCTCACAAACAACATTATGCCTTCAAATGGCTCTGTGGTTGAGCGTTAACATTCTTCGAATCGTTGGCGACCTCAATGACCGTAGATCCTCACTCAAAGTTTGATAAATCGCCCGATGAATTAGAATCCGACCCCTAAGCACAATGACATAGGCAAGCACCTCTCTAAAACACACCAT